ACTGTCACAGGTCGGCTCAGTAGATCGGGAGGTGAGCGAACACATACCGGCGTTCGATCACCTCTCGTTCCTGTAACGGCTCTCTGCTGTGACAGTGGAGGGGCTGGATTCCCCCCTCCGATCCGCCAGCGCTGACTGGTGGAACGGACGGGGGAGGGGGCGGGTACAGCTGGCTCTGCCTCTAGTAGATAGGCAGAGCAAGCTGTCACTCACGCAGCTGGGCGGATCTCGACATCGATGTCGGGATCCACTCCGGCGTCTCAGTATACCGCGAGCTGTAGCTCGCGGTATACTGAGCTTAGGGTGACGGGAGGACGCTAGTTTGTATCCTCCCGTTGCCCTAAGGAGAACTATGGGGAAAAGCCCTGACCCCATAGTTCTCCTTTAACAAAAGTCGCGCCGGGTGCTACCAGCAGGGCCGCTCCCACACCTCCAATTTAGAATGAATCGATATTATATTGTATTGTAAAGGATATACAACACACAGTGCAGCAATACTAAGCAGAAACCCCCTGTACAGGATCAAATATGGTTGCTTGTATAAAATGAATTAAAAACCCCGACAGAACCAAGTTTATAAAACACTGACCTGATTATCTACAGTAAAGAAAATCTTATAAATCTATATTTCAGTGGTAACACATCTTAGTCTGCTGTATATTTGGAAGTTTTTTGTACAATCTTTAGATGCTTCTTGTATTATAGTTTCATGTACCGCCCTGGCAACTGGTTCTCTTATGTCACCTTGCCCATTAATAAGGCTACCAGTGATACCTTCCTGGTCCTCCCATTCATCTGTTTATCTGGGGGGAGCATGTGACCTTCTCCACTTCCCCAAAGGATGTAGTGCTTGCGCCTGAACAACCAATCACCAAGCCCAAACAATGTCAAGTGAGGTAGGGAAGCAAGTCATCAACTGTGTGGAGCTCACACAGGGATTAGACTCCGAGAGGATGAGTGTCAGTGGGAAAAAATGGCCTATCAAGAGAACTTTAAGAAACTCTAAAGAGATTCATTAAGACTGTCTATGACTAATGTGTAAATTCAGAGGCCGATGCTTGGTTCCCCAGTGTTTGGAGAAAGCAGAAAGCAAGACCTCACCTTCCAGGTTTATCTCTGGCAGAAGCTTCCTCAGAGGTTTCTTCACTTCCCAGGTGGTGTTAACAAACGATGGCATCACTTTAAGAAGTTCTTCTTTATCTTTTTCATGGATCACTGGAATGGTGTCCAGGATCACCTGCATCTGCTCCAGCTCATGGCTTCCTAGAATAGAAAAAGAAACACAAGAAGGAAGTTACTGATTGTTTGATAATACACTATATGGCCAAAAGTAGGTGCATCTTGCTCAAATTATTGATTTCAGACATTATAGGCAATGTGCCCTTCCAACCTCGCGGGGACAATTTGGGGAAGGCCCTTTTCTGTTCCATCAAGGCAGTACAGTACCCCTGTGAGCAAAGCCAGCTCCATAAAGACATGGTTTGATGCGTTTGGAGTGGAGGAACTTTAGTGCCTGCACACAGGGGCGTTTGTGACAAGCATTCCCAGAAAAGTAGAAAAAGGGGGAGGAGGGGCCCTACATAATAATATGAATGGTTTTTGAATGGGATATCCAAAAAGCTCATATATGTGAAGGTCTGGTGTCTGCACCTAAAGAGGCCCATATAGTGTACCAACCAAAAGTTGCTAAACCTTAAAACATCATCCCTCTGCTGTTTTTGTTTTGTTTTAGGGTTCATTTTAATGCCCTAATTCCCACATGTACTGGGGCCAAATAGGAGTCATGCTGCAATAAATAATAATAATAGTGTTACCATAAAAGGTATATAAAAGTAAAACTAAACTCTGGCGTTAAACCTTAAAACTCCATTCAAGTCCCTTAACTATTAACAACAATGTATCTTATTTGTGTATCACTCGGCTGTAGATCCTCCAATCATCTCTGAATTGGTGCTGAGACTATCCTTCCTTCTGGAGGGGGGCTACTTTTGTTCCCCATGGTCCCTGTGTGTGTTGTAAAGTAGTCACCGCTCCAAGCTCGCTCCTGTGATGGACTACAATCTCCGGTTTAGTTTACTCATTTGTATTAAGATTGTAGACCATCTCGGGAGCGAGCTTGGAGCAGTGACTACTTTCCAAAACACACAGGGACCGTGGGGAACAAAAGTAGCCCCCCTCCAGAAGGAAGGACAGTGTCAGCACCAATCCAGAGATGATTTGAGGAGCTACAGCCGAGTGATACACAAATAAGAGACATTTTTGTTAATAGTTAGGGTACCTGAATGCAATTTTTAGGCTCCGTTCACACATTAGAGTTTCTGCGGTACGAATAGTTAAGGAACCTGAATGTATTTCTCCTGAGTTCAGTGTCACTTTAATAGTGTTGCAGTGATAGATTAAAAAAAAAGAGTGACATGGGAACAACAAAGTAACAATATATAAGCAGAAAATTCTTTGTAATTTGATAATATCTCGACTGATTTCCCGAAAGTTAACCATATTTAGGAATATTTTTCACCTGTTGGGTATAGTTAGGCCATTACAGGCAGAAGTTAGAGTATCAAATAGGATATGAAGGTTAACTTTTTTTGCCAAGCTGTATCACTGAACTGTGGGGGGGATAAAAAAAAACAACCCAAGAATCTACATCTGCGTTCAAGCTTTCCCTTTTCAGCCAGTAATGAGCCATGGGGGAGTTAATTATCCTGCGGTGGAAAACTACACGCGGCAAGCCAATTAAGCAAGCGGAGAACGGGTGTTTGAGGCTTATGTAACGATCCGCTGTAACAGAGGGGAAAAGCTACAACAATTGCATAAGCCAGGCCGGGCTGAAATCAAAGAAACTGCAAATATTTTATATAATGTGGAAATTCTGACCCAGGCCGAGAACTGGACCAATCTGTATTTAGTCTGTATTTGGTTTATATAGGCTATTTACAGTTTTATTTCTAGTTATGTGAATGTGATCATTTCAATGTAAATAATGTGTTATTATTTTAGTAACACAAGTTTCTAGTTATTGTTAACCTATGTATAAATACACTATATTGCCAAAAGTATTGGGACGCCCCTCCAAATCATTGGGTTCAGGTGTTCCGTGAAATGTCCTTGCTACCATCACCTGTCACCTGTTAGCGGTATTATAACAAAGTGGAAGCAACCGGGAACAACAGCAACTCAGCCAGGAAGTGGTAGGCCACGTAACATGACAGAGCGGGGTCAGCGCATGCTGAAGCGCACAGTGCGCAGAAGTCGCCAACTGTTTGAAGAGTCAATAGCTACAGACCTCCAAACTTCATGTGGCCTTCAGATTGGCACAACAACAGTGCGTAGAGAGCTTCATGGAATGGGTTTCCATGGCCGAGCAGCTGCATCCAAGCCTTACATCACCGAGTGCAATGCAAAGCGTGGGATGCCGTGGTGTAAAGCACGCCACCACTGGACTCTAGAGAAGTGGAGACGTGTTCTCCGGAGTGACCAATCACGCTTCTCTGTCTGGCAATCTGACGTGTCGGGGTTTGGCAGATGCCAGGAGAACAGTACTTGCCTGACTGCATTGTGCCAAGTGTAAAGTTTGGTGGAGGGGGGATTATGATGTGGGGGTGTTCCTCAGGGGTTGGGCTTGGCCCCCTTAGTTCCAGTGAAGGGAACTCTTAAGGCATCAGCATACCAAGACATTTTGGACAATTTCATGCTCCCGATGAGTGATTTTGGGGTGGAGGAACTTAACTGGCCTGCACAGAGTCCTGACATCAACTCGATTGAACAACTTTAGGATGAATTAGAGTGAGCCAGGCCTTCTCGTCCAACATCAGTACATCATCAGTACCTGACCTCACAATTGTGCTTCTGAAAGAATGGTCAAACATTCCCATCGACACACTCCTAAACCTTGTGGACGCCTTCCCAGAAGAGTTGAAGCTGTTATAGCTGCAAAGGGCGGAGCCAACCCAATATTGAACCCTACGGACTAAGACTGGGATGCCATTAAAGTTCATGTGTATGTAAAGGCCAGCGTCCCAATACCTTTGGCAATATAGTGTATGTACATAGGGGCAGTCATATTTGCTTGTTCCATATGCACGGCCAGCTTCCTACCTGCTGTTGGTGGCCCTGTTAGCGTCACTTGACTCCACAAAAGTGGAATTTTCAATTGAGTTTTGTTAAAGGAGCTGGGTGGAGAATTATCTGATGAACAGTGACTGCATTCAATCAGCTGGAGGGGTAATCAGCAGCTGAATACAATAGCCGGCACGGGGAGTCCTTCATCCATACGTTTTAGTGCAGATGGGGGAATTGACTGATTTTTCTTGGGGGCTGAACAGGATAAATCCAAAAGGTGTATAGCTTTACTTGCTAAAGCTGCTGAGACAGTATCTCTCTGTGGAGCAACATGCTCTGGCTTCCTCAACCTTTAACAGCCTCTTCCATCAAAGCAGTGGCATACAATTTACTGTAGCTGCCCTTTAAAATGTTAGCTTTTGCTCCAATAGAAGCATTGGTTAGTCCCTATGAACTGATCAAGTGTGAACTGCATGAATGGAGCACCTTCTGGCGGCAAGTGTCAGTCCGCGGATTGCTAAAGCGAAGTAAGAAACCCCACTGGGTCGAGGTGTCACCAGTGGTGGAATTGCCAGTGTGACATCTGCCTTACAATGGAGTTCCAGAGTGCCAAATGCCAGCTGGGCCCGTCACAACTAACTTGTCCACAGGCGGGAAAGCCGCAATGTGACCGTTCCACAATACACACTGTATGAGCGTATGGTGACTTAGTGATCAACACTGTTGGCTTGCAATTGGGTGTTCTTGGTTACAATCCAAACAGGGGCATATGTCAGCATCCGTCTATATGTGTATTGGAGTAATATAATACATTTACAGGGTTAAAATGACAGTCAATATTTGCAATTACTTTTTCAAATTTGAAGCTGATATGAGTACAGCACGATGACAAATGATGACATCTCTTACAATGGATGCTGCTCCTTCATGTTTAAAGGTTTTAGTTTCCTGCAGAATCAGCCGGTCCCCTGAGCACTGGCCCTGAGATTCTGTTTTAGGGTGACTCCTTCCCCTTGCAGGGTCCTATGGAGCCACCCTTGTGTGTGTCCACAAACACACAACAACAAAACGTTTCCCAGCACACTCCCCAGCCAGCCTGCAAAAAAACCTGTCTAACTACTAAGGTTAAAACAGAGGTCTTCGTTGCACGTCTTCTGCAGAATATGTGGAAGCCGCACAGCCTCGTCAAGGCCCCTCTGTGTAATGCGGTCCTAACTCTAATCTATGAGAGCCGCCATCCTGGACCATATATAGCAAAGGAAAAAACACACAAACACACAGGTACAGCAAGGCAAGACGCTCCCCTGCACCCCTCTCCTTCTTCCCTTCTCCAAGCTAGTAGATGGAGATCTGCTGGAGAATGCTCTGTCCCTTGTGATCTTGTGCTGTACTGGAAGTTCAAGGAAACTGAGCTAAGAGAATTGGAGTAGAATTGTCTTAAATAGAATCCAGTATATAATGTATGCATATATACAGGGAACAAATCTGTATGATTCTGTGTTCAGTGGGGCCCGTGCACAGGGGGGCCCAGCCAGGCATCCCTCTGATGCCGTGTGGGCCGCCTGGGTCACTATGGCGTCTCGGGTGCTGGCTGTCACTGACATAGCTCAGCAGCAGCTGTGAAGGAGAACGTTCCCCCTCACAGCCGCTGCGGAGCTGTGTCAGTGACAGCCAGCAGATGCAGCAGAATAGGCCGGTTACACCGGCGTTTTAAGTAAAGGAGGCGGGGCCCGCCTAACAGCAACCCCGCCTCCTCTCAAATCACTGGCCAACGATCTAAGAGCAGGTGGGGCTAGTGATGTAAGAGGAGGCGGGGCCAGTCGATAGACGGAGGCATGGCCCTGGGACGGAAGAGGAGGCAGGGGCGTGTCGGCGGGGACCACGGAGGTGGACAACGCTGACAGGTAAGAGGCGTGCAGCCTGAGACCTTGCAGAGCCCACCATAGAGAGTCTATGGTGGGCTCTGCAAGTGGCATAACTAGCAATCAAGGGGCCCTGCCGGTTACACCGGCGTTTTCAGTAAAGGAGGCGGGGCCCGCCTAACAGCAACCCCGCCTCCTCTCAAATCACTGGCCAACGATCTAAGAGCAGGTGGGGCTAGTGATGTAAGAGGAGGCGGGGCCAGTCGATAGACGGAGGCATGGCCCTGGGACGGAAGAGTAGGCAGGGGCGTGTCGGCGGGGACCACGGAGGTGGACAAC